CGTGAGGGCGGCACCCAGCGGGCAGCCCGGGAACCCGCGGGCCGGGCGCTGCCGGCCGAGGACCCCGGGGGCGCCCAGCCTGCTCCCGGAGCATCGGTGCCTCCCGCAGAAGCAGGCGTCACGCTGGACGGCCCGGAAGGTCCTTTAGTACCGAGCACTCCTGCGGAGAGGAAACTCCTGTTTGCTGAAGGAGCAGTTTGGTTCATTCCCAATTCTAACGCTCCACAATAAAAATGATGCCACTCGTATTAATCTGTTATATTCAGCAAGCGTGTAGCGATTTGGCTGGGTTGAGGAGGCAGTCCGGCAGCACCAAATGCATTTTGGTGTCTTATTAACTGTCAGGTTAACAGGACAGAGATGGACAGGCAGCAAGTACTCCTTGTGGGTACAGTACGAGCAGACCACCGTAGGCAAGCCATACAGGTGGGGGCATGTTCAAGAAACATGGTGTAGCCCAGGTGAGGGATTATATGGTTCATACCAGGGAGAAGAGTGGCAGACAATGCTGGGAAGTTGGGCTGGACTCGGCTGGGGTAATAGAGTAGCAGGGCTTGGATGAATTCAACATTCCTTTCCCACCCTCCAGGCTCCTTCCCAAAAACACATGCAGAACCAGAACTCAAATGTGTATCATAAGTTTATTCCCGATGCGGGACAGATTCCTTCCACCCCCAAAATGAATCACATGCTGCCCTGGAGAGATCTAGGAGATTCTCCCACCATATCCTGGGAAGGGGTGAGAAAGGCAGGTGCTGAGGACAAGGCAGGCTTTGCAGTTCCCCAGCCTACTTATCCTCCCCTCCTCAACAGAGGAGAGCTAGCTGTTCCCCACTATTATTCTCATCCACTCTTCCCTTAAAGGAAAAAAAAAAAAAAAAGACAAAAACCCCTCAAATACGGGAGGGAAGGGTCCTGGGCTGCGACTTGAGGTGAAAGGTCACCAACAGAAGAGGGACAGGGAGGGGAGGAGGGACCATCACTGTTTCTGCTGCAGGGCCTCCTTCCTTGCTGCGTCCTGTAGCAACTGTGTGTCCACCTCATCTGCCGGCAGCTGCACATAGCGGACCACTGAGCCCCGGATGAAGCAGTTCTTCACTGATAACTAGAAAGAAAGACAAATAAGAAAACACCCTGAAAATTGTCCACTGTCTGGGGCGCCTGGGTGGCTTAGTCAGTTGGGCACCTGACTCTTGATTTTGGCTCAGATAGAGATCTCAGGGTGCTTCACTCCCGTGCGTGCTCTCTCTCTCAAATAAATAAAATAAAATCTTAAAAAAAAGAATGTCAGGTATCCACCCAGGAGCGTCCTGCTTTTGTTTCCTCTTCACCATCACCAACTCACCATGTGAGGATATTTCTCAGGATCTGTAACACTGATGTCAGTTAGTTTGATGTTGAGGTACTAAGAAAAGAAGATGAACACCGTCATTAGCGCTAGAGACAAGATGCAAGTACCCAGCCCTGAAACTCCCCCCTCTCCTTCCCCAAGACCCCATTCTAGGCTCCCTCATATCTTACCTGATCCACAGAATGGAGGGTTCCACAGATGCTGTTGGGGGAGAAGGAGGAAAGAACCAAATCAGTTTACACCAAAATCAACAGAGAGATGATTTCAGAGCATGGATAAGAACATGGCTGGGAGAAGTCAAGGTTTGAGGGAGCCAGAAAAGGGAGAACCAAATGGGGCATTCCTAAGCCCAGGAACAAGAAAAACAATGCATTTATTGTAGTGTGTTATTTTAGACCTCACATCTTCTAAAACCAAGGCACTCTTAGCAGCTAGTATTAAACAACTGTTATAAACTAGGCCTGTGTTCCCCATAGTATTTGCAATCTTTACAGCTACTTCACAAGGTAGCTATTACCAAACAGGGGCTCAGAGATTGTGTAATGTGCCCAAGTGTAGAAGAAACAGGGACTTGAGTTCACATCGGTCTGATCCCCAAACCATCAGCTATTTTCAAACATTTGCTGGAACCCCATATGTAAAGTAGACAAAGTAGCTTAACATTGTTCTTGATGATGCAGGCACAGGGATGTCCTCTCCCTTCCTCAGTCCCTGGGCCCTCTGAAAAGTTTCAGAACACCAGGGCTCCAAGTCATGCTACCTCTCTCCCAACTTCTTTACTTTCTGTCAATGGCCTCAACAGTCTCACAATCTCAAATCCTGAGCTGTACTTCACCATCCTCCATGACCCATGTACCCATCATTTGGCAACATTTTCCTAACATCTCTATAATTCTTTCTAGTTTGACTTCTACAAGCCAAGGTCTAATTACACCTCAATCCTGGCCACCTTTATCCTAACCACCTACATGTCATCACCAGATTCTATGTTCCTTAGAACTGTGGTTCTCAAACACTGATGTGTGCTCAAAAGTTTTATAAGTCTGAGATAAAGAAACACAGGTTAGGGGCGCCTGGGTGGCTCAGTCATTAAGCGTCTGCCTTCAGCTCAGGTCATGATCCCAGGGTCCTGGGATTGAGCCCCACATTGGGCTCCCTGCTCTGCGGAGGCCTGCTTCTCCCTCTCCTACTCCCCCTGCTTGTGTTCCCTCTCTCACTGTGTCTCTGTCAAATAAATAAAATCTTTGGGCACCTGGGTGGCTCAGTTGGTTAAGCGACTGCCTTCGGCTCAGGTCATGATCCTGGAGTCCCGGGATCGAGTCCCACATCAGGCTCCCTGCTCGGCAGGGAGTCTGCTTCTCCCTCTCCCTCTGCTGCTCCCCTGCTTGTGCTCGCTCCCTCTCGTTTTAAATAAATAAATAAATAAATAGAAAAATCTTTAAATAAATAAATAAATAAATAAAATAAAATCTTAAAAAAAAAAAAACACAGGTTAGTATAGCATTGTGTTGAGCGTGTATGTAGTATGCTAAAGGTTGTCAGTATTTTCTTCCCTAAGAATAACTCTTTAATTGCCCTTGCGATTTTTTTGTTACTAAAAAAATTTTAATGAAATGATTATAATGTGCAGTTGCTTAAGCATCAGACTCTTGAGGGCACCTGGGTGGCTCAGTAGGTTAAGTGTCTGCCTTCCACTCAGGTCACGATCCCAGGGTCCTGGGATCAAGCCCCGCGTCAGGCTCTCTGCTCAGTGGGAAGTCTGCTTCTCCCTCTCCCTTTGCCTCCTCCCCCCGTTCATGCTCTGTCTCTCTCTCAAATAAATAAAATCTTAAAAAAAAGAATTGTAAAGAAAATAAAATATTGGGGAAAAAAAGCGTCGGACTCTTGGTTTCAGCCACTTTCAGGTCTTCAGGTCGTGATCTCAGGGTCATGAGATCGAGCTCCACATCAGGCTCTGTGCTCAGCTTTCAGGTCTTCATCTCAGGGTCATGAGATCGAGCCCCGCATCAGGCTCCACACTCAGTCTGCTTAAGGCCCTGGGGTGCCTGGGTTGCTCAGTTGGTTAAGTGCTAGACTCTTAATTTCTTGATTTTGGCTCAGGTCATGATCTCAGGATTGAGACCGATCCCAGCATGGGGCTCACACTGAGCATGGAGTCTGCTTTTCTCCCTCCTCTTCCCTCTGCCCCTCTAAAAAAAAGAAAAGAAGACTCTCTCTCTCCCTCACTCTCTAAAATAAATCTTAAAAAAAAAAAAAGTCCGTATCTTGCCAAAAATAAAGCTGGCGGTTCTCTGTTGGACCCCAATTTTTGTTAAATTCTAAGTCTTTAAAATCCACTGCCTGAGAGACACACTTCCTCAGTGGTGGTTTCCCCACATCCCTTGGCTGCTGGGAAGACTTTGACAACACCCTATTACCATCTGCAGCGGTGAAGTGACTTTTGAAACTGCACAGGTGGTGTCATTTCATGCTGTCTCTTAATATCTGGCACAACAATGGTCTGACAAGCATGAGAGAAAGCTCTTTTCCTATACCAGTGGACCACCTTCAAATCTTGTCCCTGTTTTAGGATATGGGGCTATAACATAAGCTATTCTTGCCATGTGGAAGACCCAGAAAGGAGAGAAGAGGAAAACCAAAAACAAATCATCTCATAGAATTGCCTAGGTGGTTCTGACTTCCATTCTTGTCTCGCTATATGGCCCCAATCTATATGCCATCAATACCATGTCAATGTTTCCCACACTGAGAAATTATCTCACAAAGAAACGTGGGAGATACTGTTGGGGGCAGGGGGGTACAGGGATACACTGATTCAAAGTTTCTAAAGAAGGGGCGCCTGGCTGGCTCAGTCTGTTAAAACATGCAACTCTTGACCTCAGGGTTGTGGGTTTGAGCCCCACCTTGGGTACAGAGATTACTTAAAAATAAAATATTTTTTAAAAAGTTAGGTATTAAGAAGAACACTTGTGATGAGCACTGGGTGCTGAATGTAAGTGATGAGTCACTAAATTCTACACCTGAAACTAAATTACTCTTTATGTTAACTGGAATTTAAATTAAAAATTGAGAAAATTAAATAAATAAATAGAAGGTTCTTTTTTTTTTTTAGATTATTTGAGAGAGAGAGAATGAGAGAGAGAGAGAG